TTGTCCTAAAAAAAATAAGTGGAAAAAAAAAAAAAAAAAAAAAAAAAATTAAAATAAAAATTTTAAAAAAATTAAAAAAAAAACACTATGTTAAATGTCCAATTATGTCGCTAAAATCACAATAACAACACTTTTACAAATTAAAACATCTTCTCCTTAAAAAGTAAAATCGTCCCTTAATTTATCGCTGTGTAAAGTATCTTATTCCAATAAAGCATATAACTAGTAAGAACCCTAAAAACAAATGAACCTTACACCATAAGGTTGCTGTATATTATGCCAACCTCGTGGCACATTCACGGTGTTTGGTATAACTTATTTTAGTTAGTTTATAAATTCTAATTTCGAAAAAATTATTTTGAATTGTTTAGTTAAATTCATTTCAAATAGTTTCTAATTCTAATAACTTATTTTAATTTAAAAAAATTGATTTTGAGAAGTTGTCAATCATCTGCTTCTGATTATCAATCTCTACTGTGCGCATGTTAATTTACGATTATATCTTTAGAAAAAAAAAATTATATGGGAAATGTGTAGTTGTAGTGAATAACAAAAAAAATAAAAGTTAATTCAATTTACAACTTACAAAAATTAATTCAATTTACAATTAACAAGGGTAAAAATGACATTTACACATCAAAAAGTTATTTCACAGCTTACCAAACACTACTCAGTAACTTAAATATATAATATGACAATTGTACCAAACAAATTAACAACTTCTGATTAAAATTATAATTTATAATCCGTTAAATTATAATATATAATATATTTTACCAGTTGCACCAAACACCCTATTGTTTGAAAGGGCAAAAGTTTACCCAATGCTGACTTTCACATCTCTCAGGGAAATTAAAAATAAAAAACTAAAATGTAAAAGAGTGAATTTAATAATTTTGATTCTCATTACAGTTGATTGATGACCACTGCAATTTTTAAACTGGAAAATTACAAATATATACTGTGCATGTGATAATTGTTCTCTCCTATAGGCAACATATTATATCTATGAGAACTGATTGAGAGCCCGAATTCCTCCGCCCCGAATGCCCCTAAACCACGAAACGACGTCATTTCGTGGTTTTAATTTTCTTTTCTTTTTTTTTGCCGCAGAAGAAGAAAGACGAAGACGGAGGAGGGAGAGGGGGAGGGGAAGGAGGAGGAAGGGGACTGGAGGGGGCCTAAAAAATGGGCTGGAGGCGGAGGCGGGGGGCGCGGCGATCGGCGATGGCAGAGGCGACGGAGGCGGAGGTGCCGCGATCGGCGACGGATCGGAGACAACGGCGACCCCTCTCCCTCTCCATCTCCCTCTTTCTCTCCCTCTCCCTCTCTCTCTTCCTCCGCTTCAACCTTCCTCTGCGTCGAAAATGGCAGAAAAAATAAAAAAATAAATAAAAAATTTCGAGCCACATTCGAACCAGGCATTTCGGGCCCTCAAACATTTTCCAATAAGTTTAGTATATCATCTAGTGGATGATGAGGCCAATCAAATGTTGGCCTCATGGCACAAAAAAAAAAAAAAAAAAAAAAAAAAAAAAAACAACAACGATTACACTGTCCTTCTGTCTTTAACTTTTCTTTCCCTATTCGACTTTTCTGAATCCTCTCTCTCTCAAAAACTCTTTTTTACTAAATTGCTTCTAAGTCAGTAACTTAGTAGCTCAGTAGTACTCAAGGATGCCTGACGCGGATGTTGGGTTGATGGTATTTCCATAACTATTGCCAATCTTTTGGCCACAACTGGAACGAACTCATTTGGAAACAATTATTTTCAGGACTCGATTGACCTACCTTTGTTTGTTCTTTACACTGAACCATCAAAAGGACACATAAACATTGTATTTTCTCTTTTTTGTACTAATTTATTTTTATTTTTATTTTTTGATCGGCAAAAAAAAACTTTATTGATGAAATAAAATCAGTATATCGTACAAAGCGAATTACATCAATAAAGAAAAAAGAGAGGTGTAAAAGCATCACAATGAGTTAAATCATCCTAACGAGGTTGGTATCATCTAACTCATCCTATCATTTGCTAATTGTGTGCATGTGTGTATCTAACAAGGTAAAAGAGTTCTTAAAGATTCATGTACCTTTGTTTTTACAATTCTTTTGATTGTATTTACTTTATGTGGTAATGCCTAAATGATTACTTTCAATATTTTGCTAGGAAAATGTCTCGTAACTCAAATTTTGTGGCTCAAATGGCCAAAACGACGTCGTTTTGGCCATTTTTATATTGTTCTGTACTCAAAACGACGTCGTTTTGGCCATTTGAGTCACTTTTGAGCCACAAAATTTGAGTTACGTAGCATTGTCGATTTTGCTATTGGGCAAAAAATGATAGCCATGAAAAATCAAATAGTAATATTTTGACAAAACACTACAATTTATTGCTGAAAGATACCGATAATATTATGTAACAATTTTTTGGGTAAGTAATATTATTTAACAATTATTAATTTATTTTAAAATAAATCACCCACGACCCAACAACCTGCCTCGTTATTGTAGGCTACTTAGAGAACATGTTATAGAGATTCTAACTTACTTGTGAGATCCTAAATAATAATGTTAAAAATATAGAAATCAGACACAGAATCAAATATAAAATATATATGAATAAATAAAATTTTACAAAATTTATTATGAAATTCAATCCTAAAAAATTTAATTTATTAATATATTTTTGTGCTTAACGCTAAATTTAATTTTCATAGTAACAGACTCGTTCAATCCTAAAAATGTATTGCATCAATGCATGTCAGCTCCTCAATCTTAGGTCTCGTTTGGAAATAAGTTAATTTAGTAATTTTTTAGCTATTTGGCTAAAATATGAGCTAAAAAAAACTAGTATGTTTTGGATGACTTTTTGACTGTTTACGAAAAGATGTGCAAAAAGTAGAGAGAAAAGAGAATCTTTGACTTTTTGATATAGGTTGTTAGCTTTTTGACTAATTTAGTAACTTTTTGACTAAAAAGAGGATTCCCAAACGAGGCCTTATTCACTACCATTAGACTCAACATTTTATTATTACATATCAAGTCAATTCATAGTCCGGTTTACAAAAATCAGTATCAATCCGTTATTCACCGTTCTATAAAAATTGAAACTAAATCTAACCACTAAAATTATGTAATCAATTCGAATTAAATTAGTTAAATACAGTTTAGTTCGATTTGGAACTATGATTTCACATAATTTGTTTACAAAAAAAATTATATAATATTTTAAAAAAAAATTCAACTTATCATAAATTTTATAAATAATAACATATCCATCAAACAAACTACTCTCATAATATTCACTTGTTAAGCAAAAATATATAATATTAAACAAACATTGTTCAACATTAATCTGTCATGATTTTTCGAAACATAAACTTTTAAAACATAAATATATGTATCGTTCTACCATTAACTTAAACAAAGGTATCTAGCCAATAAATATATATTGTTTAAATTATCTACCAGATTAGACTAGATGGATTTGATTTGCTTCGTCCTAAATTATAATACACACTAATGCTGTGTTTGGTTGAGAGATTTGAGGAGGGATTTGGAAAGAGAAATGGAAAAGGCAGGTGAAATGTGAAAAAAATATACCTACATTTCACATAGTTTCACACACCTTTTCCCTTTCCCTTTCCCTTTCCAAATCCCTCCCCAAATCCCCTAACCAAACACAGCATAAGTAAATCAGATTTTGTCTCTCCACTATCTAAGAAAGATGAATCCACCTATCTTTGTCATTAGAAAATTCCGTACTTCATTAATATGAAACACTAAATAAAAATATCACATAATACTCTCAAACTATTTAATAATTAGTCGTGATAAGATGGTACAGAAAGGGACAGAGACTTTCTTAAATCTTCAAACATGGAAGGCTAAGAAGACTAGCTTGAGAGAGAGTTGAACCTCTTTGCTGGCCTATAAAACTACTTCCATATTCTCTTTGCCATAAGCATTAATCCCACCATAGAGAGAGAGAAAGAGAGAGAGAGAGGGAGGGAGAGAGAATGGCTTCCAGATCCATGTTAGAGAAGCCTCATGCAGTTTGTATACCATTCCCAGCTCAAGGCCACATCAACCCCATGCTAAAACTAGCCAAACTCCTCCATTACAAAGGCTTCCATATAACCTTTGTGAACACAGAGTTCAACCACAAACGCCTCCTCAAATCCCGAGGCCCTGACTCACTCGACGGCCTCCCCTCCTTCCGCTTTGAGACCATACCCGACGGCCTCCCGGAATCCGATTCCGAAGCCACCCAAGACATCCCCTCCCTCTGTGAGTCCACCTCCAAACACTGCTTAGCTCCCTTTAAAGGCCTCATCTCCAAACTCAATGACAATGTTGCATCGAACGTCCCACCAGTCACTTGCATAGTCTCTGACTCCACCATGTTCTTCACAATCACCGCTGCTGAAGAACTAGGCATCCCCCATGTTTCTTTGTGGACAGCCAGTGCTTCTAGTTTCATGGCTTACATTCAGTACCACTTTCTTATCGAAGAGGGTATCATACCACTCAAAGGTAGTAATTATAAGCTACTTACGTTACATACATAAACAAGTGCACACACATGTATATTTTCATGTTTACACGAGTACATTTATATATGCAAGCAGTGACAAATAGAGAATTTTAACACGGTCGTCGCACTTTATCCCATTGTGAATGACCCCCCGTCATTTTAGAAATAAGAAAACCAAAGTGCACCATTAGCTTCTGCTAGCAGCACCTGTAAATACATTCACACGCAAAGCACCATCCCGCTCTACATAGTTATAGTTACAACTTCAATTAACACCACCCAGCCAAGCTTTCACCAAGGGAATTTTTTTTTATTTTTTTCCTAACATACAAACATGATAGGAACATTGGGGCAGGGGGGATGAATATCAGAACAACGAACCCATCACCACAAAGCTGATCACAAGGAGACGGTTGGTTTGACATTGATGGGTGGGCACTACACAGTTATGTTTCTTTGGCCAAATTCGATTAAGCACGCAACCTAAAGAATTATTCGTTGTCTATTATATTATAAATGTAGATACCATATATAGCAGACCAAAAATTTATCACTAATTCAAACTTTAACCAATGTCCCACTGACCCAACCACTCAATCGATCAAAAATCAAGCAAAATAATTGAGAAAAGACATATTTATATGTATGTGGCATCAAAAAGTTCCAGATTTGGACAATCAATCTTTGAGCTATACATATGCTAGTGTAGCACTATGAGTATTGGTTTTATTGTTGGCCATTAAAGTTCAAGAAGCTTGAGTTGATTTTGTAGGGCCGTGGTGGTGGGAAAGGGAGGTTGGGCTGTCGCGAGAGGCGGGAGGGAGTGCAAATGATTGTGTGGGATGAGGGAGGGATTGGAGAGGATGTAGGCGAGAGACAGAGAGAGGGAGTAGAAGAAACAGAACAATAGAGACCAGGAGAGAAGAAATAATATATATTTTTTCCTATAAATTTGAAGGTGCATAAAGGACACGTCTTAAAAATTAACAGTACTCTTTATTCTTCAAACCCCATAAGCTTGTATGTTTATTTTCAAATAAATGTGGGATCATCCGCACAAGGACTTAAACATGGAGGCAAAGTGAAATTTGTAACTTCATGGATGAATGTATAAGTCATTTAAATATATATATATATAGGGTAAATTATGCAAATAGTCCCTATAATTTACACGATGTGTCAATTTGGTCCCTATAGCTTCAATTTGCTCGATTTTACCCCTTAATTTAACGGATTGTGTCATTTTAGTCTAATAAATAACAGTTATTAAGTTAATTTAACAGAATGTTAAACAATGTGTCAATTTAGTCCCTATACTTTACACGATGTGTCAATTTGGTCCCTATTGCTATAATTTTCTCGATTTTGATAGGGACCAAATTGAAACATTATTTGACTTTCCGTTAAATTAATTTAACAACCGTTATTTTTGGACTAAAATGACATAATCCGTTAAATTAAGGGGCAAAATCGAGTAAATTGAAATTATATGGACCAAATTGACACATCATGTAAACTATAGGGACTATTTGTATAATTTATCCATATATATACAAATATATGCAATTAAAATAGTTTATAAACTAAGTTCCACAATATTATTAATATTATTTTGCCAATTAGAAAATATTCTAAACTAATACTACCACAATAGGAGAGGTTTTGAAACTTGTGGTGTTGCCCCAGCCACAATAGGGGTGGGCAAATGATGTGAAAAACCAGTGAATCAAACCAACTTGGCTTTCATAGGATAGGTTGGTTTGGTTCATGAAAGGCATTGCACCATTCTGGATCTTAAAGTGACCAGTATGACCAAAACTGGTTGCTTCACTGGTTGGCCTCAGGATAACTTGAACGGACTCGAAAACCAACCATATAAATAAATTTTGAAAAGTGTTTGAGTGTGTAAGGTGTATACTATATGCACTTATGTAAGTTCTCATAAATATACATAAGTTACCTCACAAAATTGCGTAAAATCTCACAAATATACGTAAGTTGTAATTTCTCAAATTTTTATGAATTAACTTACATATGTTCGTGAAAACGTACGTAATTTTGTGAAGTAACTTGCATATGTTTGTAAGAACTTACACAAGTGTATGATATACACTTACACACTTAAGAATTGCCACAAATTTTATACCTTTTTTGTAAATAGTATACACATATTTATGTACTTTGTTCTGATAATTTATTACCATAAACATTGTTACATTCAATCATCTAATATTAAATTTTTCTACAAACTGTTTTCTACAATATGAACGATCCTAAATTTGTTTGGATTAGATTTTCTCAGTTTTAAGAGATCATTGATTCGGTTCTAGGGCCAAAAATTTAGAATTGATCAAGGTCGATTCGTTTCTAGGTTTGGCTCTAAGTCATACCAACATGACTCATACTCACCCATTAGGTACATCCCTGCATAAGCTAGCATGATGAGCATATATTTATACCAAGATATTATTTGTATATCAACATATAAATTCAGTAGTCGTTCAAAAAAAAAAAAAACATATACATTCAGTATGGTGTTGCACTTTTTTTTTAGACATGGGTGTTCAACTGTTGAAATTACCATTTTTGTGATGTGCAGACCCGAGTTATCTCACAAATGGGTATTTGGATATGGTTATAGATTGGATACCCGGTATGCAAGGTATACGTCTGAAGGATTTCCCAACCTTTATTCGATCCATTGACCCTGATGATATTATGATTAAATTTGTGTTGGACGGAAGCAAGGTCTCTCACAAAACTTCTGCAATTATTTATAATACATTTGAGAAATTGGAGCATGAAGTTTTGGACGCACTTTCATCCGTGTCTATTCCAATTTACACCATTGGACCTTTACACTTACTTGCGAATCAGATCAATGATGATAGTTTGAAGTCCATGGGATCAAATCTGTGGAAAGAAGCACCTGAGTGCTTAGAATGGCTCAACTCTAAAGAACCTAACTCTGTTGTTTATGTGAACTATGGAAGCATAACTATAATGACACCAAATCAACTGGTTGAATTTGCTTGGGGACTTGCTAATAGCAATCACACCTTTCTGTGGATAATAAGGTCTGATCTTGTTACCGGTGACTCGGCAGTTCTTCCACCGGAGTTTGTGACAGAGACCAAAGAAAGAGGCCTACTTGCAAGTTGGTGCCCACAAGAGGAAGTTATCACCCACCCATCTATCGGAGGGTTTTTAACTCACTGTGGGTGGAACTCCACTCTGGAAAGCATTTCCGGTGGAGTGCCAATGATCTGTTGGCCATTTTTTGCAGATCAACAAACCAACTGTTGGTCCTGCTGCACTAAGTGGGGAATTGGAGTAGAGATAGACAATGATGTTAAGAGGGATGAAGTTGAGAAGCTTGTGAGAGAGCTGGTGGCTGGAAACAAGGGCAAGGAGATGAAGAAAAGGGCCATGGAATGGAGGAAAATGGCCGAAGAGGCCACTACGAGTTCATCTGCTTCATCTTTTCTGAATCTGGAGAAAATGATTAAGCAAGTGCTTCTCTCTCCAAAACATTAGAGTAATTGGAATGAACATAGTTTACAACTATGTTTTGTCTATTCCATTTCCATATATTGTATTGTTTTGGGATGGGTTGTTTAAGACTTATTGTTTGTTATTGGCATTGAATTTAAAAATAAAAAATAAAATGCTATATGCCACTATTCAACTCATCAAGATCATATCAGACAAACAATGTGGGATTATCAATTCTCAAACTCTTTTAACTTCAAATCTTTTTGTCGTGGTATAATTTTAATCATACAATCATGTATCACTTAAAAGATGGAGGCAAACACGATTGTGTTTAGAGTTTTTTTTTTTTTTTTTTTTTCTCTTTCTCTTCAATCAGTAGGAGATTATTTATAAATATTTAGAGAATTACATTTAACTAGACAATCAACTATATAAAAAAGTCAAACGACACATAGCTACAAGCCCAACACTAACAATCATTACAAGAAAGAGCTGATAGGAAAGGAAAAATGATTAGTACACAACTTTCTCCCCCCTCTCGAATTGACCAAATGAGCTAGCGCTTTCTCTCTCCAAAAAGACTCGCGGACATAGCTAAAGGAAAACTAGATCTATAGAAGATATTATTCAATCAATCACAATTACCGAGTTTGTACTTTATTTCTATAAAAGGATGCCAATTAGTTAACTATGGTTATAACTAACGAAACCAATCCAACTCTAGTTATAACTGCCTAACTAATTCTATTGAGATGACTGGGCTCTCTTCTTGACTTTGGCTCAGCTCCTTTCCTTGGCTTTGGCTCAGCTCCTTATCATGCCCCCTCAAGCTTAGGGGAGTTTGAAAGACCATAAGCTTGTGCTGCAAATACTAAAATCAAGAAGAATAAAGTGGTTTGGTGAATATATCAGCAAGTTGATCCATAGAAAAGATGTGACAAATATGAAGCTTCTTTGCTGTAACTATTTCTCTAGCATAATGGTAGTCCACCTCAATATGTTTGAACCATGCATGAAAAACCGGATTATTGGACAAAGAGATGGCAGACATATTATCACCCCAAAGAGTAGGGACTGGAACTGAGATATGAAGATCAGATAAAAGAACACCAAGCCAGCTAAGTTTAGCAGCGATGTAAGCAAGAGCCCGATATTCGGGCTCAGTGGAAGACTTGGATATTGTAGATTACTTCTTAGCAGACCATGAAATCAAGTTGGGACCTAAGAAGACACAATAACCAGTTGTAGATGTTCAATCAATAGAGTTGGCTGCCCAATCAGAATCAGGGAAAGCATTTAAAGTGAGAGGTCCTGGTGTAAAATGTAGACTATAATGAAGAGTGCCTTTGAGATATCTAACTAATCTTTTGACCAAAGCAAAATGACTGGTAAGAGGAGTTTGAAGGAACTGACAGGCATGATTGACAGCGAAAGCCAAATCAAGTTGTGTAATAGTAAGATGTTGTAGGGCACCAACAAGACTTCGATAAAGAAAAGGCTAAGAAAAAGATAAATCCTCAGTAGAAGCAGTAGACTTGAGAGTCATAGAAGATGAGGTAGATTTACAATTGGCCATACTAGCTTTGGCAAAAATCTCAGTAGCATACGTCGTCTGAGACAAGAAATAGCCTGAGGCAAATGAGGTAACAGATATACCCAAAAAATAGTTAAGAAGACCCAATTCCTTCATGGAAAAAATCGAGTGCATCTTAGTGATTAGGGTGGAAATATAAGAATGCCCACTGCCTGTGAGAAGAATATCATCAATATGTATTAAGAGAATAGTGATGGAGGTACAAGTCTTCTTAACAAATAAAGATGAATCACAATGACTAGCTTGGAAGCCTAGTTTGAGAAGAAATGTAGAAAAGGTAGAGAACCAAGCTCTGGGAGCTTGCTTGAGCCCATAAAGAGCCTTGTGCAATTTGCAAACCATGAATGGATGTTCTTTATCAACAAAACCAAGAGGTTGATGCATATAAACCTCTTCATCTAAGACATCATGAAGAAAAACATTGGAGATGTCAAGTTGTTTGATGGCCCAGTTATAATAAAGAGCCAAACATAAGAGAAGTTTGATAGTAGGTTGCTTTGCCACTGGATTAAAGGTCTCAAAATAATAAATACCTTAAGTTTGGAGAAATCTTTTGGCAACCAATCTGGCTTTATGCTGAGCAATTATACCATCTGAATTTTTCTTGAGACGAAAAACCCATTTGCAACCAATAGCCTTTTTGGTAGAAGGACGAGGGACCAAAGACCAAGTTCCTTGTCTTGTTAAAGCTATGTATTCATCAACCATGGCAGCAGCCTAGGCGGCTAATTGAGTAGTTTCTTGACAAGATTGCGGCTTAACCAGATTAGTAAAAGTGAGATCAATAGAAGTAAGGAAACAAATAGGAGGATGAGATTTAGATGGAGTGACCATGAGGTGAGTATTAGTAGAAGGAATAGAGTGAGTGGCAGATGGGAGAGTAGGAAAATGAATAGAAATAAAAGAAATAGGGATATGAGAAAATGGAGAAGAAGAAATATAAGGAGAAGAAGGGATAATAGAAACTGGTAAAGCTATTGTGTGTGAAACAGAGTGAACTAGAGACAGAGCAGCAGCCAAAGCTGTAAACTGATGAGCAGGCTAAGCTGGAAGAGGCTGTGTTGCAGATGAAGTAGGAATCTGAGAAGGAAACTGTACTGGAGATGGGGTAACAAGTTGAGAAGTACGTTGAGTTAGATGGTGAGTAATAGGCTGAGCTGCAGGAAAAACAGATGTTGCAAATGGGATAGCATGCTGAGAAATAGGCTAAGCTGGAATAGGAGATACAACTAGAGGAGACTAGGCTGCAGATGGGACAGATGAGACAGATGTAAGAGAAGGTCAAGAAGAAAACTGAAAAGACTAGAAAAATATGTTTAATTGAGTCAATGTAGATAGAGAAAATGGAGAAAAAGAAAAATCTAACAAAGCAAAGGAAAACATATGTTCATTAAAGACCACATGTCGAGAGACATAAACCCTGCTAGTAGAAGGATCAAGACACCTATAGCCTTTAGTGGATGGAATATATCCAAGAAAAACACAGGGTATAGATCTAGGTTGACACTTATAAGTAGAATAAGGTCTAAGCCAAGGATATCAATTATAACCAAAAGTTCTAAGAAATGTATAATCAGAAGGATTATGATATAAAGCTTCAAAAGGAGTAAGAAAACCAAGTTTAGCATTAGGAAGTCGATTAATGAGAAGAACAGATGTAACAAGAGCATCAAACCAGTAAGCAAGAGGCAGAGATGAGTGATGCATGAGAGCAATAGTAATTTCTATGAGATGACTATGCTTCCTCTTAGCCACACCATTTTGAGCAGGTGTATGAGGACAACTCAACTGATGTTCAATCCATTGACTCTTTAGAAATTCTTGAAACTTAGTGCTGAGATATTCACCTCCATTATCACTTCTTAAAATTTTTAATTGTGTAGAAAATTGGTTCTAAACAAAGGCTTTGAATCCCAAAACTTGGTAAAAACTTCACTTTTGTAATGAAGAGGAAACAACATGTAAATTTGATAAAATCATCTATAAACAAAACATAATATTTGTAAGATGAAATCGGTGAAGTAAATGGATCTCAAACATCAGTGTGAATAAGAGCCAATCGTTTATTAACAATGGAATTTGACAAGCTAAATGGTAGTTTGTGATTTTTAGAAACACAACAACATTGGCACAGGTGAAAAAGATGTAGCTAGGAAGATGATAAAGACCATGGGAGTGATAGCCTCTATATAGGACCTACTGGGTGCTTTTGTCCTATATAACAAACACATCTTTATCAAAAGTACTAGTAAAATGATTATCAGAAATTAACTATTGGACATAAATCAAGTTGGAAGAAATAGAAGGTACACGAAGAACTTTGGAGAGATGAAAAGAAAAAAAAAGAGTATGAATGAGTCATTTACTAGTTTGGTGAATACGAAAAGTATTACCATCACCAATAGTAACCTGATCTGAGCCATGATATTGTTGATAATAAGATAGATTGTTCAAGTCATTTGTGATATGACTTGTAGTAGCAAAATCAAGAAACCAATTTGTGTGAGAACTAGAACCAGATAGGTCACCACCAGACTGAGATGATGTGGAAGCAACATAAGCTTTATTAACTGGAGACCTTGTAGATTGGAAGGAAGTGTCCATCTTGTACCAACAATCTAAGGCTGAATGATTTGTTTTACCACAAATTTGGCAAACAAGTTAAGAAGATGAATTAATTGTTGAAGTAGTAAAATTTCCTTGATAATAACCTTGATTGCCTTGCAGATTGCTTGGATTACCTTGATAAGGACCTTGAGTATTAGAATTGTGATACAATCGACCTTCTCTATTACGATTACCAGAACCTCCTCTAAAATATCTATCTCCATCTCATCCTCAACCTCTATGAGAACTACTTCTATAGCCTACTCGAGTAGAAGTTCTTGAAACATTATAAGCAATTGGAAAACATGATAAGCAAAGGGAATATATGAAATAGAAGACTGTTTAGTAGATGTTTAAACATGAATAGACTCCGAGTTCAACAAAGAATATAATTCCTTAATTGAAATGGAGCCAGATCGAGTATTGATAGAGGTTTTAAAGGCATTATACTCATCAAGCAAACCATTTAGAATTAATAAGACCAAATCCTCATCATCAACAGGTGATGCAGCTAAGGCTAATTAATCAACAAGCAATTTGATATGCGTCAAGTAATCCTCTATTGTATTTCCTTTCTTAACAATGTAATTAAGCTTGTTCTTCAGTTGATCTATATGTGATCTTGACAAAGACGTGAAGCGTTTGGAAAGAACATTCCACACCTCATGACTAGTAGAACAATGAAATACAGAGGTGAATATAGATAGAGACAGAGTAGCAGTTAAACAACTGAGTAGATGAGAATCAATAATCATCCATTGAGTGTAATATGGATTCAAGATATCATTGTTATGCTCATTAGTGATGGTAGATGATAGACATACCTTGGTGCCATCAACAAAACAAAGAAGTTATGTTACTCTAAGAATATTCTGAACTTGATTTTTTCCAAATATTGTAATTAGTTGAATCAACTTTGACATTCACCAAAGAATTCAAATTTGAGATAGGAAGAACAAGATTTGGAGGTATGGAAGGTATAGCAGGTGAGGTAGTAGTAGAGGAAGATAAAGTCATGGATGCCATTAATGAACCTTTGACACTTGTGCTCATAAGA